AAAATATAGATATATATTATTATATTACTTTAATATTTTATAATATAATTAAAGTTAAAATTACTTAGATATTAAAAATATAATTAATAAATAATAATAATAATAATAACTTAACTTATTAATTATTTTAAAATTTTATAATTAATATAAAATTTAATATATTTCAATAAAATAATTAAGTAATTAATAATATAAAATATAGTTTTTTATAATAAATTAATATTTTATTATAAAATAATTATTTATAATTAAAAAATACTAAGAATTATAGTATAATAATAAATAAGATATAAAAGAAGATAGGCTTTTACTTAGACTAGGTTAATATTTTATGTAGTAGAGTACTAATATAGCTTAATAATAGCTTTTCTTATTATTATAAAAGATAGAAGTATTAAATAGGTTATAAGCTTAACTAGTATAATCTACTTAATAATATTAATAGTAATTAGCTTTATTTATTCTAGCTAGTAGTAGTAAGGGTATATCTATTAGTTAGATAGAAAGGCTTCTCTTAAGGTAATAAATAAAATAAACTAAATTAAATTAGACTGTAATATTAAAGTCTTCGAATTTGAATTGCTGCCACAGTCACTAAAAGCGCGAGTCGTGGGGACATAATCTATCTATCACCAGTTACAGGAAAAAAGAACAGATCTGAAAAAATGTGGTCTCGATCGAAACGGAGCCTTTTCTCCTCTAACTCTACATATAACCTTTTGCGTGGTGGTGGAACGCCCGGTGTCTGTGGCGCCAGCGATGATGGCACAGTACCCGTACTCAACTCCCAGCCTTTCGTTAACAGCGGTTTGCACACGCTCTGGACAAACATGTAGTTCTTAATTGCTAGAAATTTCTTCAGCTGAACGTACTGTGAAACCGCGATCACACGTTTTGTTCGCGGAACGTGTCGCTACGCAGAGGCAGCAGGGAAGGAAGGGCTCTTGTTGATCCGCTCGTTGACCAGGGTGCGCAAAGATTACGTCATTGATTTCGACGTTTGCGCTTGCGCAACGGCTCCCTCGCCGTCAGTCCTTGCCAGGTACACACTTGTATGGTATGCATAGTTAAAGCAAGGGTCTGTAGTGCGATGGATACCTTGTCGATACCCCCTTGGCTACCAACAATTTCCCTGGCATACCACCCCGAATGGTTGGCCGGCCAGGTCTAGAATGTGAATCAGGCGAGAGCAAGTGAAAAGTATGACGTGATAGGCAGGTAATGCAGCTCTCGCGAGAGGGAAGCTATATTTACTTCAAATTAGTCCTGCACCTTTTGGTGGACGACCTTCTTGCAACTACCACGTACTCAATATCCATCGACATTAAAAGCAATGCGCAATCTCAGTCTTTTCCTAGCCGCTGGCGTTCTGGCGGTCCAGGTTGCTGGCAGCGGCTGGCTTCCCGGCCAGCGTGCAGGTGTGCCGCCTGTACCTACACATAACACAGACAATCGCTAACACCGTTAGTATACAACAAGTGGCACGAGAGCGAGCTCGAGAGATGGCTCTCTGACCACGGCATCCCGCACCCTAAGCCGGCGGACCGAAAAGATATTGAGGATCTCGTTGAGAAGAACTGGAAGGACTACGTCATCGAGCCCTACCGCAAATGGAGCCCCTCTCAGCTTAGCGCCTTTCTAGTATCCCGAGGCAAGGAGGCAAAGGCAGGTGCCGATGAAACGGTCGAGAGCTTGCTTGAGAGCGTCAAGGCCAACTGGTACTCGTCGGAAGAGGCTGCTGGCAAGGCCACTGCGGAGACCAAGGACTGGATTCTCAACACCTGGTCCGATAGCCAGCTTAAGGCGCTCTGTGACAAGCAGGGCATTCCCGGTAAGCACCCTCCAATGCCATCCTGCGCACTGTGTTAACAGCAGCAGTTCCTGCTACTAGCAACCGCGATGCGCTGTTGGCCAAAGCTCGGCGTGGCTTCGAGGTCGGCTCCAAAGCGGCTGGTGAAACTCTCTCGTACCCTGGCGACTGGCTCTACGAGTCTTGGTCGGATTCGGATCTCAAGAAGTGGCTCGACACGAATGGCATCCCCGCCCCCCAGCGCTCGAATCGCAACGCTTTGGTGGCTGCCGTCCGCCGCAATTCCCATCTTGCCTACCTCAAGGCCCAGGAACAAGAGGCGAAGGCCAGGGCACGCGCCAAGTCTGCCTATGCAAAGATCACTGACGACGTGATTGACGCCTGGAGCGAATCCGACCTCAAAAAGTTTGCCGATGAGAATGGCATCTCCGTCCCTCAGGGTACCAGGCTCAAAGAGTTCCGTGCCGCCGTGCGCCAGCACCGCGCCGAAATCATGGGCACCGACGTGCATGGCAAAGCCACCAAGGCTTTCGGCGCTGCTACGAGCCGAGCCAGCAATGAGTATGCCAAGGCCAGTGAGGACGCCACCCTGATTGCCCAAAAGGCATTTGAGGATGCCACTAGCGCCTGGTCCGAGAGCCGCCTCAAGTCGTACCTGGATGCTCGCGGTGTCCCTATTCCTCAAAACTCCAATCTTGACAGTCTCCGCGCTCTGGTGCGCAAGCACTCGCACAAGGCGGCCTCTGGCTGGACAGCCTGGACCTTCGACGACCTCGATAGGGAGACCCTCCAGAAGTATCTCCAGAAGCACGGTGATAAGGCTGCCAAGGCGGCTTCGAAGAAGGCCGATGCCACCCGCGAGGAGCTCGTTAAGACCGCTCAATCTGCCTACGCCAAGGCCGAGAAGAAGGGAGGTGAGGAGTATGAGGCGGCTAAGAAGTACGGCACGGAGCTCAGTAACGATGCTAAAGATAAGACATTCGAAGCTTGGTCCGAGTCGGATCTCAAGGCGTACCTCGATAGCTATGGTGTCCCTGTTCCCCAGGGCTCCAAGCTTGACGAACTCAAGGCGCTCACCCGCAAGCAATGGACCTATTTCAAATATGGCACAACGACGCCTCATGGTACCCTATTTGCCCAAGTTGAGGATGTTCTGGCGAATGGCCTGAGCTGGCTTCAGAAGCAGATCCGTGCTGGCTCCGAGGCTGCCAAAGAGAAAGCAGGAGAGGCTGATGCTGCCGCTCGCAAGAAAGCGGCCAAGGTTCAGGAGGAGCTTTAAGGCGTTTCTGCGAGAGCTGCTTACGAGAGTTTGAAGCAGAAGTTGTGAAGGCTAAATTACGTAGGGGAAGCTTGTCTTTTGCTGCTAGAGAGGACACAGTTTATGAGATTATGTAGCAGCGAGTCTTGCTAATGCGCGTGCGAGTTGCGCTTAGTGTTTTGATCAATTCAGTGCTTTTCAATTAGTTCTCTTCTCTTATGTACATTGCACGTGTGCTTCAACCAGATGCTAGCCCATGCTCGCATGCAAGTGGCGTCAGGCATCTCTTCATCATGCCCACAATCTACACGTACCGTCGGCGCCGGCACTGATGCACCAGGGATGCTTGGGGTGCCAGTCGACGTCCATGACACCGAGCTTGTTTACCACGCGGTGGGCCTTGAGCATCTTGACAGGAACAATGGTGGCATTCTCCATCAGATCGCTCACTACCTTGCCGTGGAAAATTTGCAGAGAACCGTCGTCGCTGGCATCGGCAAACAGTGGCAGCGAGCGGTGATACTTGACAGCGCGGATGGCCTCGACGTGAAATCGCATCGTCTTGTAAGGCCTGCTCGAGAGGTCCATGTCATGCCACAAAAGGCGGCGGTCGTAGGAACCGACGATCAAATTGTCGCCTCCCGGGTGAATATCGAAAGACGATATCCAGCGAGCGCCAGGCTGCACCACCTTGACGAGCTCTTGTCTCTGCAGGTCATAGCAGCGAATCATGCGTTGCGTGGCAACGAAGAAGAGAGGGCGTGAAGGGTGAAAATGGGCTGTTTGCGCCAGACCGGGCAGGCGACGGAAGGGAATCTGGCTGAGGTGCTTCGAGAGGGTGTGAATGGCGACGGAGCTGCGCTGTCCGGTTGGGGAGACGGTGCACAAGAAATCACCTCGTCTGTGCCAGGCGACGGTTTTAATCACGGAGCGCACTGTGGCCTTGAGCAGGACACCAGCATTCTCTAGCTTCGAACCGGGTCGTGCCCACTTGGCTGGTCCCTCCTTTTTGACGGTGGCCGACTTTTGCTGCGCGCCACCGGCAGCGTAGCCAAAACCAGCATCCAGTACATCTCGGCTGGCCTTCTCGATGGCATCGCTAGCCAGTGGAGGGCAGGCAAAGAATAGGTCCTCACCCGCAGCGGCGGCAAGAATGAAGGTATCCTTGACCGGGCGCCATCGGACAATCTGGACGGGTTCTTCGGAGCTCAGCTTGGTAGACCACTCCTCGTGGCCGTTTAGGGCCCAAACGCGGACCGTGCCATCGTCACCACCCGAGGCAATCCATTCGCCATCGGGACTGAAAGCCACAGTGCGCACGCGACCTTCATGGCCTCGGAAGATGGTCTGGCACAAGGAAGGGAAAGGCTTGAGCTCCTCCGGTCGAGGCAACTTGGGAAGAAGGGAGTTTGGGTCAATATTGAGTCTGTTTTTGCGGACACGGGGTGCCAGGTAGAGGTCCAGGCAGCGCTCGAATCGCTCCTTGACAAACTCGTCGTATCCAGGCACCCTTCGGAGGGCGTCATACTTCTGGGGCAGGTATTCCTTTTCTCTGCTCTCGGGGTCCTGGTCCTCCCAAGCCTGCTTCTCCTCGCGGGTTGGCAGGTATTCGGGCGGTGGATTGTAGCTAAGGTCATATCCTGGCGGTGCAAGCTTAGGAGCCGGGATGTGCATGACGCCTCTGTCCTGGGGCTCTTCGTTGGCCCAGATATCGTAGTAGGTCTCTGCTTGCTCTTCGACGCTGTCCGTTCCCTCCGCTGGCTTGTAGGGCAGAATCTTGCCCTCTTTGATGGCACGCACCAGCTGTGCGACACGCTTTGCCTCGTGCCTGGAGGGAACAAATCGTCTCTTGGGTTCCGGCGCCGCACTCAGCGGCATCTTTTCCTCGATACTGGTAAAGTAGGGCACCATTTCCTGCCAATGTTAGCAGGCTCTCGACCACAGGGCGTCAGGTTTACTCACGGGATAAGGGTCGTATCCTTCCTCTGGCACTTCGTTCATCTGGAGCTTTCGGAGAAGTTCAAGCTCATCCTGACTAAGGTTCAGCGGCTTGCCTGTCTCAGGGTCTGTTAAGCCGGTCCAACCCTTGGGCAGCTCGATGCTGTCGAGGAGGGCATCCAACGCCTCGCCGGTCGCAGGGCGCATTATCTTTTTGCCGTTGATGTCGTATCCGATATGAGGGTATGAGTCGTAAAAGGATAGCGGAATGTTGCCGATCGTGTTGACGGGTCCTTGGGCGTCGCTATCGTCGCTATCGTAGACAGGATCGATCTCTTCGTACTCGTAGCGCACGCCGCCGTTTGCGTCCGTCACAATCTTGTACGGCCAGTCCTCATTTTCGTCGTCGTCGTCGTCGTCGGGATCCTTGGGCAGATCATGGCTCGACCCATCGTCGAGTTCCGGTTCGCCGTCCGACTCGTCAAAGTCGCCCTCTTCATCTTCACTCTGCGACAAGATACCCTCCAGATGGCCATCAAAATCGTCATCGGACACTTCAGTATCCGATGAACGAATTCTCTTCGACGCCGAGCGAGCCATTTTTTTTTTTCGAATTGGTTGCTGCACAAAGCGCTGTCGAAGAGGGTGCTGGCCAGCCAAGAACTTTTTTTTTTTTGCAAGGCTTATCGGTGATGGCCAAGCCGATAAGAACTGTGGCGCAGGTTCTTGTTTTCCCTATGTTCAAGGTATCTGCGCCGGACAGCAAGTACCTAGTGGAGCCAGCCAATTCTGAGCCTGTGTGCGTCACAGCTGGCACAGTGTGTGGGACCAGGATAGCTGTTAGTGTAAACGTCCCAACGCTGGTCACTGGGCGAGTTGCCGATGCGGCCGTCAATGTTTATTCTCGTTAATGACAACAACCTCGGCATCACCTCGAGAGGCCACTCGTGCTCAGCAACGGTTCGGCATGGTATGCATTAACTCATTTCTCTATCAATGAGGCGCTGGCGCTGGTCACCTGGCGTCCAAGCAATGGATGACTTACTGTCTGCTGCGAAAGCCCAGCGCCAGAGGGAGGCTACCTACGAGGCTCCCATCCGGAAGGGCGCTGGCACGCCACGAACAGAACTTCCCGCAAATGCTGCTCATCATGACTTCGTAGGTCACACAAGGTTGGAACCACTGAATTTGCTCGACTGCGCTGCGGTTATCTCATCTTAATCACCCCTTCCCTTCGTACAAACCGAAGGTTCTTATTTGAAACCTGCCGCCCTCAGCATCTCAACTGTGGCCAGCTCTTTTTATGATTGTTCCAGGCTTGGAGAAGGCAGCGTGTTTGTTGGCTTTAAATGCGCTTACTACTGCTCGCATTGCAGTGGTGAGCGGACTGTCAACTAGTTCACGCTATATTACTTATAAAATTAACGCACGAGGACTTGTACTGGGTTGTTAGTGAAGTCACTTTCGAGTAGAGAAAACTGTTCTCGCAGGCAAGCGGTCAAGGCCATCCTGTAGTGGCATTAGGCTATGCCCTACTATGCTTGGGAGAAGTCCGGAACAACGCAGTTTATTGGGTTTTGAATAGGATAGTATTCTAAGCAGTCCGCTCTTAAAGAAAGAAACCTGATAATATGGTAGCTAAATGAGATTCCCATAAGCGAGTGAGTCGAGCCGATATGAAAGCTACTTACTAGCTCGAGCTTCCTCGTTGGCTTCGCTGCTGAGTAGCTTCTGGTTCTTCCGCCTCTTCTGTGACATGTGGATTTGATGCATAACAAGCTCTTTAAGCTTTCTTTCTATTAGATGTTAGGTTTTTTCGTACTGCGCTCCCTAGGTAGGGACTGTCTTGCCTACAAGTGTGAGCTCTGATGCCTTGTCGGCAGGGACCTTGTCGATTTAGAGCATCTCGACGAACAATATTCCTCTTCTCAATATAGTGTCGGCTTCAAGTTCAGAATGAGATGCAGTATCAAGCAATTTAGTCTCGGAGCCAGTAAAGGCAAGAGAAGTTGAATTACCTAGACAATCAAAGCATATATAGTGACACGCTCGGCTTCATCTCGTCTACCGGCACATTTGATGGTACAAGACCGACACTTGGGCCTCTCGGAGTCACTGGGCCACGCCGAAGCATCTGAAATAATCAACATCGTATTTTGTTTCTCGGGCCGAGAGGCTGGCCTCTCGATGCGACCCACCATTCCAGGAGCTGACACCGAATTGCCAAGGTCAGGCCCAAATCGGCTCACCGGCTTTCAAGAGTGAAAAAAACAGTGCATTGCGTGGCAGCCTGACCAATGTGGCCGGATTGTCCAGCAGCCAGGGCGTTCTACATCGCTTCCGTCGCTCTACGTGAGAAAATCCGTTACACCCATCAGCAATCGGCATTGCAGTGCTGAGTGGTATATTCACTAGTAATAGGTAGTCTTACACAGAGCGCATCCACCGCGCGCACCGACCGGCCACCAAAGTACATGTCGTGAAATTGTTCCGAGAAACGACATCATGCGTAGAAATTGACCGTCTGAGTCCAACTATTAGCAGGCAGCTGATTGTAGCCAGTAGGCCAAGACAACTTACATCCTTCTTCTTTGCTTGAACTTCAGCGATGGCGTCCACATAATGTTCGTGGCCAATCTTGTTCTTGCCAGAGCGCAATGCAATCATGCCAGCCTCCACACAAACAGCCTTGAGCATGGCACCGCCAAACTCGTCTGTGCTTCTTGCCAACTCGCCCCAGTTCACACCTGGGTCCACAGTCATTTTGCGAGAATGAATCTTGAGTATCTGAGCGCGCGCTTCCTCATTGGGCAGAGGAAACTCAATCTTTCTATCCAGACGTCCGGACCGCAGTAGGGCGGGATCCAAGACATCGATTCGGTTCGTGGCAGCCAGTACCTTGATTCTGTCGTCTGAGGCGAAGCCATCCAGCTGGTTGAGCAGTTCCAGCATGGTACGCTGCACTTCACGATCACCGCTCTTCTCGCTATCGAAGCGCTTTGTACCAACGGCGTCGAGTTCGTCGATGAAAATGATGGCAGGCGCCTTTTCTTTGGCAAGGGCGAAACAGTCTCGTACCAGCTTCGCACCGTCACCGATAAACATCTGCACCAGTTGAGGACCAGCGAGCTTGAGGAACGTGGCTTCGGTTTGCGCCGCGCACGCTCGGGCCAGCAGAGTCTTGCCAGTTCCGGGAGGGCCGTACATGAGCGCGCCTGAAAATGCATGTTAGTAACAGTATAGGCGGATGGCACTGCGCCCGTACCTTTAGGAGCCTTGATGCCAATCTTCTTGAATCGATCTGCTTCCTTCATGGGCCATACGATGGCCTCGACGAGCTCTTCAATCTGCTTGTCTAGGCCACCAACGTCGGTATACTGCTCAGTAGGCTTCTCGTCGACCTCCATGGCCTTGACGCGGCTGTCGTACTCCGCGGGTAGCGTGTCGAGAATCAGGTATGAGTCTTTGTTCACACCAATAAGGTCACCGGGCTTAAGCGCTTCCGAGTCCACAAGGCCAATAAGTGGAAGAAATATTGTTTGTCTCGTAGACGTCTTGATGACGGCGGACTTGCCAACACGTGTGGCGTCGAGGTCAATGTTGGCGCCCTCCTCGGACGACTCGGCAGTAGGATCCAGGTCTAGGAGCTCGACTACGTTTCCGACAAGGTAAGGTAATTGTCTGTTGGCCAAATTAGCGCGGTATAGTAGCGGCGTTACCACTCCTCCACGTACCTGTTGTTAGCGATCTTGTCCACATTCTCCTTGATTTTTTCGCCCATGGCTGCCTTTTCGTGAGAGAGACGCGATAGCTCGCTCTTCATGATTCGAGAGTCATTCTCTAGAAGCCTTTTCCTTGTCAGGATGTCCTGCGTGCTGAGTCCCAGGACCTCCTCGTCTAGGATGTCGTCTTCTTCATCGGCCTCTTTCATCTCCTCATCCCCCTCTGGGTTCTTGTTGCCCTTTCCATCGCGTTCCTCTCTCTTCTTGTCATTCTTATCCCGGCGATCCAGATCCTCGAGCTCTTCGAGTGTCGACATGATTGCAGATGAGGGTGGCGGCTATGGAGTGTTTGAGCGCGGCGCTGTTCCTGCTGGAGCAGCAAGTGCAGATGCAAGCGATTTATCGAAAACAAAAAAAACTGTAATTCGGTATCCTTGAGCCAAATCTATACAGCGGAATACGATTGCGTGCGCTGGAACGGGCGTCTGACTTGATGAATTACTTGCGCGAAGGGAAGTGAAGCAGTGAGGCGCCAGGCTGGGTGGGCTAAGCTTTGCTAATCACAGCACGCGCCATCACTCTGGCAGCCTGGTCGTGTATTTAGTAACCTACCTAAGGTAAGGTAGTTTGGGTATTTAGGTACCTAGTGGCCCGGCTCGGCCCACACCAAGCCAAGCTTCACACTGTGCTCACATTATAACCTGACCAGCGTGCCGGAGCGGCAGATGGTTCTCCCGAGAATCGCCAAATTGTTACTACTATCTTGAAGCTCGATTGTTGCGACTGTTGTCATCAGTCCCCATTCTCTCTGTCATCGACATCGCCGGGAAAAGTACCAATCTGCTCAGGATGGTGCAGCGGATTTCAGGGTCTTTCGAGCGCATCCTTTTGGGCCTTGTCAACAGGCCAATTGCAACCCGCATTCCCCTAATTAATCGCGAACCGTTTCGTCGACGATATGCTGCAGCCAGCCTCACGCATTCTGGTGCCGCAAACGCACCCGTTCAATTCTCGCCTGCGACAAAGCCTCCAAGCGCACGACCAGCAGAGACGCGAAAAAGTCAATTGATTCGAAATTACACATCTCTACTGCGCACAACACCATTGGTCCTCTTTTTTCAACACAGCAATCTGACAGCAGTCGAATGGGCTGCCGTGCGGCGGGAGCTCAAAAAGGCTGTATCAGCGGTTTCGTCTACAATCGCGGGAACAGATGGGCAGCCAATTGATATCAGCAACAGCGTGCAGCTGCAAGTGCTGCGTACAAATATGTTCGACGTTGCTCTCAAAATTGTCGAGTTCTACAACCCAGAGGCGGCTGCGGCTCTGGGCCCTACGGCGCGCACTTGGAAGGGACCGATTACCCACGATCTGTCAGAAGCGGCATACCAAGCCATTCACAACGCGGAGGTAACTCCTGAGTCGGCCTACAGCCAAATAGAGCCCCTCATGGTTGGTCCCTTGGCCGCGCTCGTCATGCCCGCGGTGTCGCCCATCCATCTCGCTGCTGCGCTCAGCATCCTATCCCCTGCCCCAAGCAGGTTCCCAGCGCCAACGAGAAAGAAGAGCCCTGGCTACCATGACCCTGTTTGTCAGAACGGCCTTGCAAAACTGACCCTGGTCGGCGGCCGCATCGAGGGTAAGGTCTTTGATCAGGCTGGCGTCAACTGGATTGGCGGCATTTCTGGTGGCCTGGACGGATTACGCGCTCAGCTGGTTCATGTTTTGCAGAGCGCTGGTCTTGGAATCACTGCCACTCTGGAGGGTGGAAGCAAAAACTTGTGGCTGGCTTTGGAGGGCAGAAAAGAGCAGCTCAAGGCGGGATAGATGCGGGTGTTGCGGCAACACGCAGCTCATTGTATGATACAAAATTAATTGATATACTGTACAACAAATCAAGCACATTTCTCTGGCGGTATTCATCATGAGAGGGCCGGTCATCAGCGTTCACTGCCCAAAGAAATACCAGGTCAAGGTTACATGAGTGAATCGCAAGCTAGAGTTAGGTATTGAGGCCTTCGAAAAACCATAGTACAGGGAAGAAGATTTACAACGTCGCTGTACGGAGTACTCCGTACCTGTAGACAAAGAAGTGCCAGTGTGCATGTGTGTCAGGGTGAATGCGTACCATACTTCAATTTCAATTTAAGCAGGTACTTTTAGGTGGGTAGGTAGGTAAGGTTCCTCTTAAGTATTTCTACAGGTACCTCTGAATACCCTGCGCTGGGGCAAGATGAATGCGCCTGATGCAACCCCACAGGAGCTTCAAGCTGTCGCGGCCCATGTGACGTTCTGCGCGATCATCTTCGACTCTTCATTGCAAGACTACAAAACCCCGCCTTGTTCATTAACAGCTTCGGCCTTGTATACCAATCGGATACCGACTTTCAACATCACGATTGGCGAGTCCGCAAAGCCTTCTTCGTTGTAAAGAAACAAGCCCTGTTTCGACGCGTGCCTCGTCTCAGCGCCTTCAACCAGCTCCTGGTATGGATTTTGCGCCGTACCAGTCCTCGCCACCCGAGCACGGCCGAGTAGCCTCTCCCGAGTATAACGCATCCCCGCGGGCTTCCACAGATGCGAGCAAGAGACCATTCTCGCCCGTCAATGCCGCTCGCAGTCCGCCTCCGCTACAGCACCCACAACCCCAAAGGGCCTGGGCAGGCTTCGATGGTCAGACGAGCGGTTGGTCTGGTGGAAGCGCCGCACCCGCGGCACATTCTTTACCTGGCGCATATCCTGTGGCGGAAGTAAGCGAATTCGACACAAGCCTCGGGCTCAGGCTCGACTACGAAGCTTGTCTTGCATATCTGGCGTTTCCGCCGGTCGGCGCCATTGTGCTTCTAATACTAGAGAGAAACAGCGACTACGTCAGGTGTGGCCAAGTCAAACCCCTGCGTTGTATGATATTTCTAACAATTCAAGATTTCACGCATGGCAATCTGCATTACTGTTTACGGCTATCATGATACTCCACCTCCTCTTCTCGTGGTCGAAATTCTTCAGCTGGGTCTTTTTCCTAGGCGATCTCGCCTTGATCGGGTTTCTCTCGCTCAAAGCATACCGCGACGCTGAAATACTAGACAGGTATGTAACAGCACATCAGATAGTGCAGCGATTGGAGCTAACTCAATCCAGATTTGAAGTTCCATTCTTCGGAAAGATAGCAACGAGGATACTAGATGACGAGTAACCTAGGTTAACCTCACGGTTTTATGTGCTCTCGACAAACACCGCGCTTCATTAATTAGATTTAAAGAGTGCATTAGCGCTTTGCCCTCCGGTTACCTATACAATATACAAATAGTTCGTTCAAATTATGTCTAATCGAGGGTCTGTATGAGCTAGGAGAGACTTGCATCAGGCCCATCATACTCCTACCCAAGGGAGTTGCCCCCAGACTCATCGCGACAGAACTGAGTGGACCTCACACGACACTGTGACTTTGTCTGTAAATACTACCTCACGAACGGTACCATCAGGACCATCATCGAGCCACCTTGCCAACAAATCATTGCTCTCCTTGGGCTTGACTGTGCTGTCTCTTGTACCTACGGTTATATGCGCAACGCGGTTCGCGCATTTCCATGTGTTAGATTTGTCATCGATCCGGACTACAATCGCCATGATGCGCTGGTCGAAAACAACCTGTCATGATTAGCTTGTTGTCTGCAACTTCCGTTCATCAGGCCTTACCCTCTCCATGACTACATCGCACTCGCCAAGCTTTCCAGCCCCTCTACCAGCATTATCGTGCAGCGTAAGGTAACGCTGCCAGAGCTCAGGGAACTGCTTGGCGTTGGCTCTATGCAAAAGCGTTACATGGAAAGCCATCTGTAATCTGCGAGTTTGCTTGAGCTGCATGTAGCTGCGCGATAGTTCTTTGTCACACGAGGCGAAAACCTTGTCGAGCGTGTTATTGACGATAGTTCCAGGGACAGCGATGGACATGTATTCAAGCTCCTTGGGCTTGTTCTCCTTCTTCTGTTGCTGCTTGGCTGGTTGTCTGCCCTTGCGGTCCGGAATGTCGTGCCTAAAATCCGGTTTGAAGCCGAGCGCAGACTCAAGCGCCTTGTCAAGCTCCTCAGCTTTTGGCAATTCCTTGACTATGTTGGGAAAAATTTCATGAAGCCTTGTAACCACGGTGCTCAGGTTCTTCCGGCTTCCTGCGATAGGGTCCAAGTCGATGAAAGCATCGAACCCGTCGTCTGGCCGAGTAAAGGGGGAGCAAGTCTCGAAGCGCCCTAGAAAACCATCCATGACCCCAAGGAATTTGTCTTGGTCGCTGGCGGCATGTATTGTCTGGTGATTATCCCCACGTTGAATGACTCTGTCGCGCGTCACCTGTCGAAGTTCTTCAAGAGATTCTTGGTCGTGACGGAAATTGAGGCACACCAGCTTAACTGACTCATGCTGAGTCTTTGTGTCGAAGATTATTTGCTTTCTCTCATGTCTTTGTGCATTGTTGCGATCGGCAAACACAACAGGGTGCTCTTCGAGCTGCGCCAGCACTGCCTTGGTAAATCGGGGAGGTCGCCCTTTTCCAGAAATGTTATCATTCTGGATATGTCCCCAGCCGAAAAGCTCTTTCAATGCCAAAGCAAGCGTAGTCTTTCCGCATCCAATGGTTGCTATTGGCACCAGAACAACATCCTTGGTGATCTCTGCCATGACTATCGCATCGGATTGATCCATATTTGCAGCATCGCTGCCCTTGATATTCTTGTAGTCGAGAAATTCGTTGCGCAGGGCAATTATCCCATGATTTTGGTTATAGAGTTTTGCAAGTCCAGGGTTCGTAGCCAGGCGCTTCTTGGCGTACAGAAGATATTCTTCGGTAATGGCAACATGCTTCTTGAATTTGGGCGGCTTGCCCATAATTAATGCCTTGGTACATTCTCTCCACTGCCTATACATGAGGTATGGCTCCTCGAACTTGAACTTGAAGAACCAGTCCTGAAATGGGATATTGTCAGGGCTACCTGACATCCGACAACGAATGACAAAGCCTTCCACATCACGACCGTCGTGTGCGCCGGTAATGGCTGCTTCCTCGAGAAAATCTTTGACCTTGTTGACGTCCTCAAACACGATATAGTTGGTCTTGCGAAAACCCCAGTCCTCGGCAAATTGCTGAACAGCTGTGCTAGGGTATGTGATGAATTCGGGCACATTGACATTAAGTCCATGTAGATAGAGGCCGGCATCTTCCGGTCCATAAGCCAAGATATGCTCCTCGAAGGCGTCGTCGCAGAGCTCGGCCACAGCCGTCACATTGCGCTGTCTAAGTTCCCGGGCGAGGTCATGCTTCGTCTTACCAAGAGCTTGAAGCTGTTTCTCTATCCAAGCTTCTCCAGCCTTTGAATGCGTTATCTCGCCACCACGATCTCCTGTGGAGTGTTTGCTGCAAACAATGAGAGTCTCATCCTCAAGACCAGCAATGAAGATGATGCATCCGTTTTCCTTGAGCGTGAGTTCGTATGGCCCTTGTGTTCTTGTCAGAATGTTGTCCCACTTTGTTTCTTCTACTTCGTTGACATTGAAAAACTTGTCGTAGCCTCGCACAGCAATCTCGTAGCGGTTCTTGCTTGTCTTGGTGGTGAACAGACCACGGGCGTACACTGGCAGATCACGTCGCTTGTAGTCCCATTCCTGAAATCGCCACGAGTCGACTGTGATGTTGTTTGGTGATTCTTTGACTTCAAATGGATTCTTTTTCACGGACGCCTTGCCGCGGCGCTGCTCCTTTCTGTATTGTTCCAATGACTGCATGAGCTTGGACATCTGGTCGTGGTCCTGCTCAATATACGGGACCCCAGCCATGTTAGAATAATTGCGCGAGTCCTTGAGGATTGATTTGGTAGTCGCCGTGAGAGAGCCTATTCGGGCTATTTTGAGATAGCTTCTCGTGCTGGTAATCATGGGTCTCTCCGTCGTTTGGACTGGTGCCGTTCTTCAAGAGATTCAACCGTACGGCATATATCGCTGTCGGTAAAGTCGCAAGCGGCGGAGCCCTAAAGCGAAACAGAGAGTTGATCACTCTAAATGATGTGGGCTTTCGTGACAGTAGACTCTGCGACAAGTGCGTAAAGTCATGTAAATGCTCGAAGTTCAGCAAACAGCCAAAGTTGGTTTCCAAGACAGAATCATTATCTGCCCCACCCGAGCTGCGGGTTGTGAATTTGTGACTCAGTCGGGCAGGCACTTCGAAACAAAAACTTCCTGACTGTGAGGTACACGACCTCGGTTCTTTCTTTACAAATTTTGCCCACCGAAATGAATGAGTCTTCACCGGGGACTAGTCAGCATACGCGATAGCTCTGTCTAGAACAGTGTTAGTTTTTTTTTGCAGTTATGCATTGGTGGCACAGCACAACAGGAAGGAGCAGCGAGATCCCTCTGACATTAGGCAGCCATTCTATATTGTAAATTCGTTACAGTGCGCTTTTTGACTGCGGGATCTAAGTATATTTAGAATTTAACTAGCCAAGTAGAGATGGTTAGATGTAAGAAAGTAAAGATTACGAATTTATATGCAGCAAGGGCTAGGTACCGAGCGGAACTTCTGTCTCCCTCACTTTCTCTGTATCTACCCACTACCCAGTACTGACTTCCATGACCCAGCTTACCCACTTTGCCACTGAAGCGGGCGTAACGTCAATTTTTCCTCCTGCACCAAACTAGGTACACTCAGCATCACCAAAATGGCACCGAATCCTTTTCTGCTAGCTGCAGACAATAGCCCATCTCTTCTTCCCTTGTTGAGAGACAATCCAGAAATTGCAAAATCGCAAGACGAGCACGGCTATTCCTTGGTACACGCTGCCGCAAGCTACAACCACCTTGATCTCCTTCGGGCATTGATTAACGAGCTAAATGTTGATGTCAACATCAAGGACGAGGACAACGAAACTGCCCTTTTCGTAGTAGAAACGGTTGGCGCGGCCAAGACTTTGGTCGAGCTTGGCGTCCATGTCCAGCACAAGGGCCTCGAAGGCCTCACAGCTGCCGAGAGGATTGCAGGCGACGCTGACTTCCCCGAGGTTGCGGCTTACTTGAACTCTTTGGACCCCGGACAAGCTGTTCGGCAGACTAGCTCGGGTGCCGCTGCACTACCAATCGGGCTCGCTTCACCCCCGGAGGGCATGCAAGTTACATTCGGAACTATAAATGAAGCTGAGGTTCCAGCCGAGGTGGACTCGGAGTTTCAGCGTCGCATTGAGGAGTTTGCCCAGCGCGATGATTTTAACACACCAGAGGGCCAGGCGGATCTCAGAAAACTCGTCGAGGATGCCATTACAGACCAGGGACTTGGCGAGGAGAGAAGCACCAAGCCGAAACGAGTATGAGATCCTATTTATGCTTGACATCCCACATCAGAAATCTAGAGTTCTGCCCCGGTGGCTTCAGGACTGTGATTTCGCTTTTGCCGCCCAATCCACCTGCTACCGCATCGGTTGCACTTATCGCGAACCACGACGCTTCTGGGCAAGACGCCATGAGTGCGGATGCCATTGTCGACACCCACGAAGAACTCAACAGCCCATCCCAGCTGATGTGACCAACTCTCGTGTTGCCTGGCGGACAATCTGGTACGCTGTACCGCGAGATATACGCATCAAGGCTATCTTTATGGAGGATTCGAGGGCTTTGCAGACGTACAAGTGAGATCCATTCATACAGCTCCGCTGCTGTGTCTTGGCCACATCGCCCATTATCCTCGAGGCCGGGAATTGTGGGCGTTATGACTCGGTGTGTTTCGATGTGTCTCGAAACGACTGGTTTTGACAGCACCTCTGTGTATGGCAGTTGGCCAAGTGTTGTTGGTTTTTCGGCTTCAGCTTTGTCAGGACGAAGTAGTGGGATGTGGATAGCAAGGCCTACATGAAATTTCCAGCGTACACACCCAGTTCAGTGTCTGGTCTGATATGCTTCTGCAGCCGTAAAGCAGTCGGTCGAAGCCTCGCTTGCCATGCTGCATGGAAGGACTTTGCAAGTCGTAGGTGACGTCTGTCCAATATTAGCATGGGTCCTCCAGGACTGTCCACGAATACTTACACCACTTTGACCGCATCTCTCTGTTGCCATTCCGTTCATCGATTTTTCCGGATAGACCTGACCGCTCGTATGTTTCTCTGTCAAGATAGAGGTTAAGCTTCCCTAGAGCATGTGTCAGCTAAGTGAACTGTGTTACTGATGGTTTCCCAACCTTTGCAAAGTACGAATGTGTTGCCTGAGGTGGCACTCCCTTCCGAGAGCATGGAAATACTTCCTGTATAACGTCAGAATGCTGCTCGCCGCATGCGTGTATAATCTTACCAGTCTGAACATGCTCTGTGAAAAAGGTTTTCTCGAACAATTGACTCAGAGTGGCCTTGACTCTGTAATATCGTATGGGTGTACTCTGTGTCAGTTGCTCCATAGCAGCAGTCCAGCAATCCGATGAGATAACATCGACCTAATTTTCATGAGTGCTTGCCTACTTGTATGTGTGTTGAGGCTGGCCCTACCCTGTGTATGAAATCTTTACTGCGAAAGCTGCCAGCTGGTCGTCGTTTTGCCAGTGAGTCGCCTGGTTCAATACTTGCGGTGGTGAAGGTGCACCGCGTATTCTGGTAGACCGATGGGACAGCCTGTGAATCCATTCCTCCGTAGTGCCTCCACTGTTCGCACTCATTTACGGTTCAGCGCAGTTGAGCTGCCTAGAAAAACTGGTTGGCATATGGAAGCCAGGTTGAAGCACCGTCATTTTCGGCGGTGTGCCACAAAAATTCTCGATAGTCCCACTTACCCTGCAATTCAAATGACTACCTGCAATTCAACCGTGTTGCCCGGCATTGCCACCATTCACATATTGCTTCTAGTGTGTTTGGCATCACTGAGTTGACTAGCTTTGTGCCTTACGACCTGTATCCACTGTTGCAGCCATGATAGACTTTATCATCAAATTTGCACAGGCTCACGAGAGTTTTCGCATTCCCGAAATCGAGGCGCTTGCGATCATCGAGGGCGTGCACTTGGAGATAATACAATATGATGAAGCAGTACGATACATGAATCGGCACTTTAAATTTCACTGACATTTCCTAGTCACCGCTATGTACCGTGCGCCTGCCTTCCGCGGATGCAGCAAAGAGGCTGATACGTCGGTCCATCATGGCACAGTCAATTCACGAGCTGTGGGGTTCAGGTAAGAACCTGGAAGAGCTCAATGATTCCATCAAAGCGACAAGTAGCTCGGAGTGGCCAAGATACAGGGTCTCTTCATTCAAGTTCGTGTTTGACTCATACCAAGGATCACGGTCCAAGCCCAGCCAGCTTTCTGTGATCAACAACTTTCGATTTCTGCCGTTCGAGGGACACATCATCATGAAAAACCCGGACGAGATCTTCACTGTACTAGAACTTTGGCCGTGGAACAGTGTTCCTCTGGGAGTCGAGCACCCCAACTACTATCACCTAGGACGTTTCATTGCCAACTCTGCTCGTAACGATGTACTCAAGTTTGATTTGAAGAAAAGACAGTACATATCGACGACAAGCATGGATTCCGAGCTTGCTCTCATTACGGCAAACATTGCGCTAGCTGCCCCTGGTAAGATTCTATACGACCCATTCGTTGGAACAGGGTCATTTCCTATTGCATGTGCCCACTTTGGTGCAATGAGCTGGGGCAGTGATATAGACGGACGAAGCATTCGAGGCGAGGGCAATGGAAAGAGTCTCAAGGGAAACTTTGGACAATACCACATCGCGTCGTTGCTTGGTGACGTCTTTGCCGCCGATGTCACAAATAGCCCAATCCGAAGGCGGAGAGTTTGGGACGGCATTGTCTGCGATCCACCTTATGGAGTAAGAGAAGGACTGCGAGTACTCGGGCTGAAGGACCCTGAGAAGACACCGTGGCTTGTAGAGCGCGGCCTTAAGCATGGAATGTGAGTTGCGACGACCAAAGTGTGGATGGGTAGCTGCTGACGTGCAAAGGGAATTCGACTTCGTGCCTCCAAAGAAGCCATATAGCTTCATGGCAATACTCGACGACATCCTCGTACTCGCAGTGGAAACACTCGTCGACAATGCCAGACTCTCTTTCTGGATGCCCACGGCCAATGAAGAGGACCAACGAATCCCAGCCCCAACGCACCCGAGTCTCGAAATCGTGGCCAATTGCGTCCAGGTTTTCAACAAATGTAAGCCTAGTCCCTTTTTGGCGCTGGGAGACTGACATCGGCTCACATCAACAGGGTCGCGACGGCTGATTACGTACCGACGTATACCGGATGATGAAGTGTCTAACGAGGCGCTCGCGGCATATGCTGGGAGAACAATTATCAGTGACGTCGGAACCACCGCCAACGAACTTAATCCATTTCGCCGCGGGTATTTTAGGAAATTCCAAAGTGATAGCTAGAAGCTAGATGCATGATTTGTCAACCAAACTGGGCCTCATGATATCCGTAAACTCAATAACCCCTTTCCGGCTCCCAAGCAAAAACCCGTCGATCTGTTCAACAGGTCAAAACCCAACGACAAAACTATAAAGACCATGCATGCTGCAAACCTGATGAAGTCAGATTCCGCGAGAGCGACGCGAGAGCGACATTTGCGGACTAATAATGTGCTGCTCGGCCTCCGCCGCAAACTTGCAGCTTACAGATGGCTCCCCACGGCATAAAATTTATCGGAATTCCATAGCCATAAAGCATCCTCGATCGGGGACATGCTTCAACTCAAGCTGTTGAAACCTACACAGCGTTAGCGTCGCAGGAGAAAAAAAAAGAGACCAACGCACTTTTCGCTCTTTGAATGAAAGTAGATGCCGCTGACTTCTCCTTTGACCTGGTTGAAGCATATATAGTAGAAGCCCTCAAAGCTAGCGCCGTGAATTGTGCGAACGCGATGATCCGGCACCAAAAAGTGCTCCTTCCATCGCATAAATATAAATTCCTTTTGAGCAACATCGGGTATCAAGACAGACCCCTTTTTTGCCTGTTTCTGATACGGCCGAAACGCACCAAACTTGCCCCAGTGGCTCAAATCTACCTTGGCATTGGCACCCCAGTCGTCGTGCTGTGTGAGGAAGCTATACCTTGTTCCGATTATTTCGCCTTCAAAATATGTCGTGAGGGTTGGGTGATCCTCCGTGAGACCTATCAGAGCTGTAAGCTGAAACAGTCGGGACAACGACGCAAGCTTGCCGAGCGACGCAAGCATACGGACCTTGAATACGTAGATAGCCGCACAGGAAAGACTCGCGCATGTCGACATATTTTATTTCGACCTGAACATCATATACCTGTCGTTCAGACTGTTGTGTGCCGTGGAATTTTGTACCCGGCCGTAGGTAGGATGACGGACTAAAGGGAATGGACTGGGTCTATTAGTTTTCTGCCTGATGGAATGGGACGACAAGGCGTACTCTCTTATTGGAGTAGTCGAGGCCAGTATAACATGAACTCTGCGTATCGTCGTCACATGTTTCAAACTCGTTTTCGTCCGTTTCTTTCCTGCTGGAGATACTAGCCGGAGATGGGCTACCCATAACAGCCTTCTGGCTGGTGCCAAGGCGACCCTCGAGGTCTTGCTGTTTGCTGTTGCCGACGTCGGGGGGAGGCGAAGTTGCGCCGGTCGCGCTAGATCGAGGAGGTGGGGATATTGTAGTCGCCCGTGACGAGGGCTCGGCAGAGATGCGATCGTCTGTGACCTGAGAATCCTCTCTTATCATGATCCGTGACTGGTCCGAGTCGACAGACGGGGCGTCGCGAGGTGACTGGCTCCGCCTGTGCGTCGTCGACTGCAACCCGGGCGTCATTTCTTCATGGGATGTCTGAGAGATGTGAGATGAATGCTGTAACTCGTCGGGACAAGTTGAAAAGTTGTGGGACGACGGTGACGAAGGATCGAGCGGCGGTTCTGAGGACGGGGTCGGCATTGTTGCGACCGAGCGTACGGTGATAATCGACGACGATGATGGCGGAAAATCGTCAGCGAAGAAGATGCCGCCAATCAAAGGGGTACAAAGCCCCGAGTTTTGCTGCAACACCAAACAGGCGATTGCGTTTCTCGAGCGTCGTCTAGTTGCTGAGAATTATGGGGTGACGGTCTCACCACTTTGACCGATCGGCTGACAGCGTATCTCTGAACGTAGCGTACCTATGGATATCGTCTGCGGATTGCAGGCCCAAATCGCCTTGATCGTGAGATTATATCGCGCTCCTGCACAGTGGCAAGCGATGGTTGCTTAAATACAAGCTATAGGGTCAAGTGCAGAAGGCGAAAACGAAGAAGGATTGAGAGGCGAATTCGGGTCGACATGTGTGGAGAAACCGACACTGATACCGAGACGGGTGCTGCCCCTCCAGCTGGCGATAGTCGGGCGAGATTGGGTACCTAGGTACCTCGTCGAGCTGGAGAGCTTGTAGCCTTGAGGTACCGCACAGCGTCCGATATCTGCGGGGGATACCCGCCTCTACATGGGTCGCAGGCGCGATCTGAGAAGCCCAAGCATGGCTGACCTAGGTACCTGGGGAAATAGCCAACTATTTAGGCAACAGATAAGTACCTACCTACGGACCTACCTAAGGTACCTACCTAGGTGAATAAAGACGCCGTGCAGTATATAGTACCGATCCAAAGGAGAACTACAGTCGAAGATGAAATTGAGGAACTTCTGAGTGAGGTAGGTGTTATTGCTGAGCCTATTTGAACAGCAAGCTAGGTATGTAGGTAGCTGGGCAGATGAATGTGACCGAAAGCTGCAGCGGTGCCCAGTGTGTACTGACATCGCTGTGTACTGTATTTACGGATGGCTCACTGATTAACAATTACAGGTATTTCGGTAGAAAATAGCAGTAGAAAATAGCCTCGCCCGAGACAGGCACAAGATGAAAAGATAGCCAAACTCATGGTGAAAGTAGGTAGTGTTGAATGAATGGCGACAGCACCGAACAGGCCACAATCTTTAATCGCCATCCACGCATTTGCACTTGCTTGAGAAGCAATCAACTTTGAAGGCTGTGATTGGCATATTGATAGACTGACCAAGGCCTAGAGTATTATTCATGATATTTGAAGGAACTTGTGTGCGCCTGATGCCATTGTGAACCAGCAAATGGCATCCCTGGCCCACATCCCGGAACTCCGAATTTGGGTATCAATTAAATAGGCTTGATTTTGAAATGCAATGCAATGAGGCTGAAAACAAGTGCCTTGAGATCTTGAACAAGATAATAGAAGACTCGGAGGCCCTCGGGGTCGGCTGACTCTGTGACATCGACTAGTGATCCGATTTTGGCAGTCTATGGCTGTTAGCATTCATCTGATTCTGTAACATTCATCTACCGACCTCGAATGAAATATGGTCATTCCCAAGTCGAATTTCTAGCTGCTGACGACCGTCCTTGTTCTTTTGAGGCCACCTGGAGTCGTCTTCCCTGTGAATGGTCAGGACGCTCGAAGTTATTTGTGCATGTAGGGTAAGCGTACTTGGTAATCTCGCTGGATTTGATGATACGCTTTATCTCATCGACAATGGTAGCGCTCACGCACACTGACAACCTCATTAGCGACTGCATTAAGCAAATTGTGAAAGTCGATGAGCGCGTACTCTCTTTGCGGATCAAGCTGTCGTTTCGGTAATTCGAGTTATTGGCATATCGTGCGACAGCACTGCGGCCGTCTCCCACAACCCTTATGTCGAATTCTGTGAAAAGTGCATTAGCCAACGCCCATTCGTAGAAGTGGAGCGCCACCGACCTAAGAACTCGTGGCCGAAGCGACCGGAATGGCCAGAGCTGACAGTAGTTAGTACGTTAGTACGTTTGTATGAAGATATTCGAAACAACTCACTAGTAGCGCAGGTAGAATGGTTCGTGGGAGGAACTCATGGCTGCGATTTTTGTTCGTCGCAAAAATTTGGCCAAGCTGCGAACACGCCCCCGGAGCTTCATTAGCTTCACCTACAGCGCGCGCGCTCATGGTGGGGTATGATGGACGAAACAATCACGTGCATCCACACTCCACGTCCCCTCGATTATTAGTGCCACCTGTCCAGCGGTGATGGATCAGGAGCAGCCAGATCACCACGAGCTGAGGGTGCCAATTTCAGAGCTTGCCTTTACGACTGCTGGCGACTCCAGCAGCTTCAGCGTTGGCACTGTTGTTCAGATCCGCCTATCCATGGCCCAGAATACCAATTGAAAAACCAACAATTCCTCACAGCACAGCCACGAACGAATCACGAACCCCTGATCTATAACAAATCATGTCGGGATTTTTGGAAAACGCATACAGTCTCGTCCACCAGGACAATGCGGCCGATGTGCCCACTGTCTCTGATCTGCGAATGCAGCTGGAAAAGGGCACGGACGAGAGCAAGGTCGACACAATGAAGCGCATCTTGACAATCATGCTCAATGGCGACTCTATGCCGACACTCCTTATGCACATTATTCGATTCGTCATGCCCTCCAAGTACAAGCCCCTCAAGAAACTTTTGTACTTCTACTATGAAATCTGTCCCAAGCTGGACGCTTCTGGCAAACTGAAGCAAGAAATGATCCTTGTCTGGTGCGACTGACACTTGCCCTTCTGTCACAGAATGTCACTGACTGAATGGCGCAGCAACGGCATTCGCAATGACCTGCAGCACGCAAACGAGTATATTCGAGGCAACACTTTACGATTCCTTTGCAAGCTGCGCGAGCCTGAACTCATTGAGCCCCTCCTCTCGTCTGCCCGATCCTGCCTTGAGCACCGCCACGCGTATGTTCGCAAGAACGCTGTTTTCGCCGTCTCCTCGATATACTTGCATTCGCCCAGCCTCATTCCCGATGCCGCAGATCTCATCTCTGCTTTCCTCAGTGGTGAAACAGACGCCACCTGCAAGCGCAACGCCTTTGCTGCGCTCTCCAGCATTGATCACGAGGCTGCGCTGGTGTACCTCAGCTCTGTCTTTGACGGCATCCCGAACGCCGACGATTTGTTGCAGCTCGTTGAGCTTGAATTTATTCGCAAGGATGCTGTTCAGAACACTCAGAATAAAGTAGGCTGAACCGCAGTCATTTCTTACGCTTACTGACTCGGACTAGGCTCGCTACCTTCGACTTATATTCGACCTACTCGAAGCTAATGCCTCTACTGTTGTCTACGAAGCGGCATCCTCTCTGACTGCCCTTACAAATAACCCTGTTGCTGTCAAAGCTGCTGCTGCGAAATTCATCGAGCTAAGCATCAAGGAGGCTGATAACAATGTCAAGCTCATCGTCCTCAACCGTGTTGATCAGCTGCGCAAGAAGAACGAAGGAATCATTGATGACCTTGTGATGGAGATTCTTCGAGTACTCTCCAGCACAGATATTGATGTGCGCAAAAAGGCCCTCGAGATTGCCCTGGAGATGGTCTCGAGCAAGAATGTCGAGGAAGTTGTCCTGCTGCTCAAGAAGGAACTGTCCAAGACTGTCGACCAAGAGTACGAAAAGAACGCCGAATACCGATCTCTTCTCATTCACTCCATCCACCAGTGTGCCATCAAGTTCTCCGAGGTTGCCGCCAGCGTTGTTGAGTTACTCATGGATTTCGTCACTGATTTTAATAATGCGTCTGCCGTCGATGTCATCAACTTCGTCAAGGAGGTGGTCGAAAAGTTCCCTGCGCTGCGCACTATAATCGTCGAGAGACTCGTTTCGACACTGAGTGAGGTCCGTGCCGGCAGGGTCTATAGAGGTATCCTATGGATCATTGGCGAGTACTCGCTGGAAGAGAAGGACATCCGTGATGCATGGCGCCGCATCCGCGCCAGCCTTGGCGAGATCCCAATTCTGGCTTCCGAGCAGCGCTTGCTGGAGGAGCAAGATGGTGACGAAAAAGAGCTGCAGCAGCCGAATGGCGAGTCGAAGCCGGCGGCACCTACTGGATCCCGTAAAATCCTTGCGGACGGAACATATGCTACCGAAACTGCCCTCACCAGCCAGTCTTCTGCAGCTGCGAAACTCGAAGTCGTCAAGGCCACGCAGAAGCCGCCGTTACGTCAGCTCATTCTGGATGGCGACTACTACTTAGCCACAGTACTTTCATCCGCCCTTGTCAAGCTTGTCATGCGCCACTCGGAGACTTCCTCTGACAAATCCCGCACAAACGCCCTGCGCGCCGAGGCGATGCTCATCATGATTTCTATTCTTCGGGTTGGCCAGTCACAATTTGTCAAGGCCCCAATCGATGAAGACTCTGTCGATCGTATCATGTCTTGCGTAAGATCGCTGGCCGAATTCTCCGAGAAGAAGGACCTGGAAGCTGTCTGGCTCGACGACACCAGAAAAGCCTTTAAAGCCATGGTTCTGGTTGAGGAGAGAAAGCGTGCAGCCAAAGAAGCGCACGAAAAGGCTAAGTCTGCTGTTCAAGTCGATGATGTTATCCAAATTCGCCAGCTAGCCAAGAAAAATGCCAGCGATGGCCTTGATGAGATCGAAGTTGACCTAGAGCGCGCTACCGGTGGCGACAGTACGGCGGAAGACTTGTCGTCAAAGCTCAGTCGCGTGGTACAGCTCACTGGGTTTTCAGATCCCGTCTATGCCGAAGCCTACGTCAAGGTTCACCAATTTGACATTGTCCTCGATGTTCTACTGGTCAACCAGACTACAGAAACTCTGCAGAACCTTTCTGTCGAGTTCGCCACTCTAGGCGACCTCAAGGTAGTCGAGCGGCCAACTACTCAGAACCTAGGACCCCACGACTTCCACAACGTCCAATGTACCATCAAGGTATCGTCGACTGATACTGGCGTCATTTTTGGCAACGTCGTCTACGATGGTGCTCACTCAACAGATACCAACGTAGTCATTCTCAATGACCTCCACGTTGACATTATGGATTACATACAGCCCGCCACCTGCACAGAAACGCAGTTCCGCACAATGTGGACAGAATTTGAATGGGAGAACAAGGTCAACATCAACTCCAAGGCAAATACTTTGCGCGAATTTCTGGACCAGCTGATGGCATGCACCAACATGAGCTGCCTCACCCCTGAGGCGAGCTTGAAGGGCGACTGCCAGTTTTTGAGTGCGAACTTGTACGCCCGCAGTGTATTTGGTATGTTTATGACTCATTGGACTTCATGATATCTATCACCATTCCCATACTAACTCACTTTAGGGGAGGATGCCTTGGCCAATTTGAGTATCGAACAGGAGGGAGAGGACGGCCCCATCACGGGATTCGTGCGTATAAGAAGCAGGTCGCAGGGCCTGGCACTTAGCCTTGGCTCCCTCAAGGGACTTAACAAGATTGGCTCAACGTAAATGTTGAAATCGAATCAAATAAGCGCTAATTTAGACTTGGGGATCTGGAACGGGAAACTCCAGCATCGCATATGGATTACGATGCAGAAAAGTGAAGCATTAAAAGAATAGTGTTCTTCTTCATTAAGAAATACATTGTGGGCAAGTGATTAGGTGTCATTTATTGTGGCTTCAGTAGGGGTCAGCTAATATGCTATATGTTCCCAAAAAAGTGGCCGTTCTCAAAGGAAAAAGGTGTCCGCGCCTTGCCGCGTACATGGTAATCATTAGCTGAAAGTGAATATGTGCGGGGGTATATGTAAAGAAAGTCGGGCAGCAAAATAAAATAAAAACATTACGTCGTCAGCAGCAGGGCAGTCCATGAAGGGGTAGCATATGGTAGCGTTAACGATTGGAGACGAGGGCATTCACAATGTGGCCCTCTTGCCAACCCTGAGATTGGAGCGTCGCAGTCTCTTTCAGCATTTTGCCCATGTAAGCAAGGCGTACTTTCTTGGCTGAAGAGAGCTAGAGGTCGTTAGCTGGGCTCTGGTGAGGACAAGTGAAACATATGTACCTTAGTTTCAGCGGCCATCTTCTTGATGACGTTTCTAACAATATCCGTAGTTGATATAGAGACAGTGATGTCGTTGCCAGTTTCGCTGAGGCGGGCACGGACTTGGATCTGCTCGCCATCATCGACCTCTTTGCCCTTTTCTGCTTTGCTCATCTCTCCATCTTCCCCACCTGCCTGGGTCTCGTCGTCAGCACTGCCAATGCCATCGTTGTCGTGGTCATGCTCGATCATATTTTGCGGATCGGAGACGACCCATTCAGGTAGTGCGTAATAGTTGCCGAATGAGTCGTACGCCCCATTCACCAAGTCTCCTGTCGGCAGTGAAATCCCAGCAGCTGTGAGCATGGACTGCGCAGTCTGCAACGCCGTTTGGCCATCGTCATTTGTTCCCTGCGTTGGGGGCTCCCAGAGGACCTGCAACGCGCTGTGGAGTGTTTGCCAAATATCTGGTCGGGCGGTGACACGGGTATCAAAAAGCTCTGTTCGTTCCGTATCTAATTGCTTTCTTGTCCATTGGCGGTCAACCGAGGCCCATACATGGCGTCGCAATGGCTTATTGATGTGCTCGTCAAGAGGTCCTCGATCACGATGGCGTCGGCGGCGAGGAGAAGCTGGGTTGACAGCGCTAGGCGGCGTTGTTGCGCTCTCACCGAGACTCAGCGGCGGAGGGTTAATGTGTCGTGCGGATACATTGGAAATTCCGCCAGGATAAGGAGAATTAGGCCCAGCCGATCGCGAGAAGCAGCAGCCCTGATATCGATTCAGTCAGTATCGAGTACAACAACACGAACAGTCCACCGCATACCATGGTTGAGGCTTGTCGCTAGCCTTGTGTGACACAATGGTGTATATTGGGCAGATTCAAGAGGTAAGGAGGCGAGTGTGCTGTCAAAGCCATATCAGCATGCTCGCCGATCACCCTTGATCTAAGCAAGCCGCTGGCAGGGAAAGGTAGTGAAGGAGGTAAAGGAAATATGGCAACGCGCATGTCTGAACAAGCATGGGAATGGGTAGCGGATAGCGGGGGTATACTCTGAGCTCGATTTCAGCGGGTCATAGTCCATGCGATCGGCGACGAGCGCTCAACAACCGTTCTAATGCAAGAAATAAGATAAGAGGCGCTCAAATTCGAAAGAGAAACAAGGACGCTACATAAATAAGGAGTACCCAAACAGAACGATAGCTTCAGTGCGGTGGCAATACCTACTCTACCTTTTCTGTAAGGTAGGTACCTGTTACTAGAGGCATCATAATCACTACCTTATGGCACAGTTCTTAAAGCACTAATTTACCTTCCACCTACCTAGGTAGGTAGGTACCTACGCGTAAGTGTTATAATTTATAGCCCTAGTAGTATATAATTTAAATCAAAAGAGCTATAATTACTTCTCTATTTAATAATAAAAGATAGTTAATTATATATACTAATAAATACTAGTTAATATATATAATAATTAGTTAATATAATATAGTTAATAAGTAAGTAATATAGATAAGTAAGTAATATAGTATAACGATAGCTTAATCCTAATCTATAGTTAGTCTATTTCTTAGGTAGTGAGTTAGGTTTAAATATTATAGAGTAGTAATAAGTAATATCTTT